GAGGTCCTGCTTAATCCTACCAGAACTTACACACACACAGACACACACACATATATATATATATTACTTTGACTACAAATCAGTACAATTCCACTCTTAGTTAGCTGAATGCTCGCTTTATGTGTTAGTGATGTAAATTTTGAGAATCATGTAAACTTTTTTACGCTGTGTGCTGAATATGATTTTGTCTCTGTGGAATTTATAGGCAATCCTTGACCCAAGATTAGAAGTCCTTAGGTTAGTACCAGTGCTGCAAATTTATCATAATTCCTTGGAAGAAATTACCTTGTAATCCATTTCCCAGGAATCTTCCAGGACAGTAAGTTTCCCTCCCTGTTTGGTGAAAGTTTGGAATATTAGTTTCTGACTTTTTCCCTGTTTCTGGTGATAAGATCTTCTTTCTAAAGGGCTCTGAGGGTCGTGTTTCCTGTCTGGCAAGTGGAGTCATCTCATGTGTGCCGTCATAGAAGATTCCTGTAAAATGAGTTACCAGGTAACCAACTCTGATTTTTTAATCATCTAAAGTTCACACAACTTTCACCCAGTCTTCACACATTTTTACATAAAGTGCATGAATCTTGGGTGAAAGTTGTGTAAATCTTGTGTGAGAACATTGATAAATAGACCCCTTAGACAACTCACCTACCATGCGTTTGTTCGAGATGAGATTACAACTGTTTAATTTTATGATTTAGATGACTTATTATAAAAAATAGAATTTGTTTAAAGAATTGAAGATACTAAAAAGGTTCTTCGGATTGTTCTGAAAGCAGCAGACTCACTTTATTATAGGTCTCCAATAATGAAAAGAGGCCATTATAATACCATATACATTTGTGTGTGGGAGATCTCCATCACCATCTCCACATCTGCCCTTCTGCCATCCTCTACATTTTCCCCTGCTGCCCTCCTCCACGTCTGCCCCTGGAAGTCAACAGAACTTCTCCTCATTTACTAAACTGAGGGGTACACTTATTCACACAGCCTATTTGCCTTTAATAAATCAACCCCTCAGATCCAAAAACAAAAGTCAGATTCGGGTACATTGCTGGAAACATTGCAGGTTTATTGATTTGATTTGTTATTAGAGGATATAATGTAATGTGAGGAAATATAAAATATGTACTGCATATTTATTTACTTTATATAGCATGTAAAATCAATTTAAAATGATCATAATTGGTTCACTGATATTTCCTAAAGCTAAAGCGTGTAGTGAATAAAATGTAATACAGAGAAATCCAACTTTTGAATGCATTATTTCAACTCCGGTTGTCGTTTATTGACGATCTGTGACCGCAACATAACCCAACAGCTTCATCGTCCAACATTCTAATCTGTGTATGCCATGAAATCAGTACATGACAAGATTCTAGTATTTATGTGTATGCCATGAGGTACCTTCCCAAAAATGAAAATGGTTGGTAAGAGATGAACAGCGCAAGGTGTCCCTAAAACAGTGTGAAAAAATAGAAGTCAATGTGAGCAAATAAATGTAATTACATTCTAAAAAGTTGTCATTATTGTTCTAACTCTGTAGACTGTAAACTTTTGAAATGTAATTGTTTCCTAATCAGGACTAATGCCGATCACTATACCTGGCAAGGAAAACTAACCAGTTTTAAGGGTTTTTACGGTCAGTCTATTGAGTTAGGCAGATTATCTGTATTTGCTGATGGCTCACACAGTACAACATTCTGGTGATACAACTTGATCTTATCCTCTATTTCTTTTTTTTCTTTTCAAAGTATTTTATCCGTTTTTGAAATTTTTCAAAAGAAAGGAATGTAACATTGGTACATAAATGTTTACATACACGTACATTAATGTCATATATACACACATAGAATAACATAACAAAACTGAGAGGCTTGGGTCAGCCACCGAGGGAACTGATAACAGCCCCGATGCTGGCGACGTACACTGTACGTCGTCAGTCACGAAGGGGTTAATGGGCAAAAATAAACATGCGACATCATTAGGTGACTGTCAGATGAACGTAGTTAATCAAGAAGATCTAGAGGATCTTTAGGTGGGTTTAGAAAAGCTGATCAAGGAGGAAGGAACAGTGGGTAGAAAAGAGAGGAGAGGAGAGGGGGTGGAAGGAGCGCTACCTTCAAGCTCTCCTGTTAAGGCCCAAATGAGATGTAAGCAGGTTTGGAGAAACTTGTTATCAAAGAGTCAATAGTTGTCGGTAAATGGACGGAGGAAGGAAATGAGTAACCCATGGGTTCCAGAGTTTTTCAAATTTAGGCATGCAATCCTGTATGCGGGCCAAAAGCTTTTCATTGTAGAACGTCCAATGAACTTTATTTCTTACTTCTGTTATACTTAAGGATTTCAACATCCAAGCTCTAGCTATTGTACGCTTGGCCGCAGACAGTACATGTAACATCAGTTTGAATTGTCGGGTAGTGAGACCTAACGGTTTAACATTAAGTAGAGCTTCCTGTTGAGTTGGTGAAATATGTTTGTTCATTAGGATAGAGATAATCTGAAATACCTTTCGCCATATTGCAGCCACAACCGGGCACATCCTCTATTTCTATCTGTAGTGTGTGTATAGCTCTCATTATTATCCCACGCCAACCATCTAGCCAAACAAAATAATAAAATACTGTGCTAATACTGTGCATTCCAAATGAATGATTATCTATTGTGACAGTGCTATGCCATGTCACGGTGCGATAAGGGTTAGATTTATTCGTAATGCGTAAGATGGAGAGTAGTTTATATTAGTGAGCAGCACTATAAGAGAAATACTGATGACAATTGTTGCAATCTGTGACAAGCATTCCTAGGCTTTGTACACACGGGCACTTATACCCTGCTCTGAAATACCCCTGATTTTGTGATAGATGCTTAGGGGATAGAACTCTGTTCACAGAGATAGAAATAGGATATCTTAAATCCATTATGAATTGCATCTCACCGTACCCCCCAAGGGGCCCGAAGGAAGCAGAATAAAGCACTTCTGGTTTCATTCCATTGACATTCACTAAAACCACTTTTTAGGTATGGACAGGGGCATTCCTCATCCCTATGTAGTTAAACTTTGAGCAGAGCATTGACCCATTGCAATCACAATAGCATATAATTGTAAGCCAATATGTACGTATAGATAGCATTTTATATATTATTTATTATTATATTATTTCATTTATTTTATAGCATTTTCCAGTCAGTAGATATGAGAAAC